AAAGGACAATGGTGGTATCCGGCCCCCTTTTTATAAAAAAAAAAAAAAAGTTTTTTCACCCCCCCCCCCCTTTTTTTTTTTCTTCCCCAAACCTTCACCTCTTCACTATTTCCTGTGAGTCTTTTTTGTCCTCCCTCAGCCTCTCCAGCAAGATGGGTTACCAGGCATGGCTGCCTGTACCACTGCCAAACCAGCTGGTGGTTTTTGGACTGGGAGACTGGAGCTGTTATTCCCCGGACACAAGCATCGCTGTGGATGTACAGGTGGCAGGGGACATCAAACCCCAGAGGATTGGCAGGCTGGAGCCCACCCACAGGTAGCAGCTGGGCCCTGATGCTCTTGCGGTGTCAGCATGGCAATGGTGGGTCTTGGGAAGCATTGCGTGCTGCGATAGTCCTTGGTTTTGGCGCTGTCTTTCCTAAAGCCCTCGCATCTATTAATCCTTCTGCTAGTGAAGGGCTAGCGGAGCCAGTGCAAAACATCCACTTTTGTGGAAGATGAAATGATTTTGTGGAGGACAAGTTGACCATGAGGCAGCAGTGTGCCCTCGTGGCCAAGAAGGCCAATGGGATCCTGGGGTGTGTTGAGACGAGCGTCTCCAGCAGGTCGAGGGAGGTGATCCTGCCCCTCTACTCAGCCCTGGTGAGGCCACATCTGGAGTATTGTGTCCAGTTCTGGGCCCCACAGTACAAGAGGGATGTGGAGCTGCTGGAGAGAGTCCAGCGCAGGGCTACGAGGATGATCAGGGGCCTGGAACATCTGCCCTATGAGGAGAGGCTGAGGGAGCTGGGCCTGTTCAGCCTGGAGAAGAGAAGGCTGAGAGGGGATCTAATCAGTGTATGTAAGTACCTCAAGGAAGGGAGTGAAGAGGATGAGGCAGGCCTCTTTTCAGAGGTAGCCAACAATAGAACTAGAGGTAATGGCCACAAACTGAAACACGAAAAGTTCCACAGGAATTTAAGAAAAAAATTCTTAACAGTGAGGGTGATGGGGCACTAGAACAGGTTGCCCAGAGAGGTTGTGGAGTCTCCTTCTCTGGCGATCGTCAAAACCCACTTGGACGCAGTCCTGTGCTATGTGCTCTAGGTGACCCTGCATGTGCAGGGGGGTTGAACTAGATGATCTCTAGAGGTCCCTTCCAACCTTAATGATTCTGTGATTCTATGATTTTTGTAAGCGGAGCTGGTCTTGGAAGAGGTGGACCTGAGAAACAGCACCTCTGACCTCCTCCCTTCCCTTCTGGGCTTTATACGGAGGTTAGAGGTAGCCTGTGGGACTGCATGAAGGGAAAGTGCAGCAGGACTCCAGGGCATAACAAAGTGCTACAGAGGCATGGTTTATATTAAAGCTATCAAGAATGTGGAAGAATCTGTTTAGAATAAGAAAACCTTATTTAATTGCATAGTGTAACCTTTTTTGAAGAGGAGAGAATATAGAAAACTTTCTCCTTTGCTTCTTATAGTATAAAGGAGTTCTCCAGACCAGCTTTTCCTTCACAAAGCATAGGGAGCAGGATGAAGGACAATCAGAGATGGCTCTATTTTATTGTGACTGTATTTACGCACATAATGTATGTTGTTTTCTATAGCCTCTTGTGATGTTTTCAAACTATTTTCACGGTAGAATCTTTTCTGCTTTGGGGTGTTCCCAGCTAATGTGGATGCAGGAATTCTTACCTTTCAGTGTTTCTTGTGGGCTGAAAATTCATGGTCCTGCCACAGGTCCCTAGTATGGGAAGGTGACTGGAGGACAGATGTTTTCATGGCCTCATTGAAAGACATGGACGAAGGCAGCTCTGTGAAGCTTGTCCTGACTGTCAATGGGCAGGTAAAAGACAAAAAAGATCTCTTCCTTTCTTGCTGTTTCAGGTCTTGGTTCCAGATCGCTTCAGCTTTGTTGGTTCTGAGCTTTAAAACTTCCAATCCCATCCACTTCTTTTTCTCCTTTAATTTAGAGCCAGTTCACACAGGTCTCTTAATGCATGTCTGTGCTTAACTTACCACTCTTTGATGTTCCAGCCCCACTCCCTAAACACAGCTTTGCCAAAACACCTCTTTTGTTGTCATCTTTTGTTTTTATTTTTTTTTCTTACAGTTTTTGTGGGAGATATGCAGCAGAGAGGGGTTCAGTTCCACTTCTCTCCTGGATCTGCACTATCTAGATAGTTTTTTTTACCGTGTGCTGGAGCACTTCGATGAGCGTCTTTCAGTGTCTGCCTTTGATTTTCTATGTAAAATACTCTGTTGATGCTGGACACCTGGGCTGTTGTGTTGCAGAGGATCTGCCCCTGGCACTACGTCTTTCTGTTCCCCCTTTGCAGGAGGGCGGCCAGTGCATGTACTTTGTCTCATACGGCCTGTCACTGTTTCTGCCACAGCTGCTCAGAGGCTTCTCCAGCAGTACCCCCACCCACCCGTTTCTAGAGCCAGAGACTATCCAGTCACCGGTGCTCCCAGTGGATGACATGCCCCTCCGTCAGGACCTGGAGGACTCTCCTGGGGTACGTGGAACACCACTGTTTCAGCCTGTCCTTACTGTCCCCTCCCCTACCTTTAGCTGCTCAGTTTATATCTAGCAGAAGCACTAGTCTCTTAGTGGAGACACAGCCAAGCAGATTTGGGAGTTAAACATTCATTTATGCTAAAGAGACTGGGTAATTTTGCTCTCTGTGGAAATGTCTTTGGAAGGGTTGGATTTAACAGCCCTGGAGGGGGTCATTGATCAGCCTGGCCCTTCTTCCTGGGCTGCCCTCACGCTGGCTGCGTGCGTTGCGATCAGCAGCCTGCAAGCAGAGCACAGCTGGGCTGCTTGGCAGGGCCAGGCAGCTCGTGTTGCTGGCGTGCAGGTCTCATACAGTTGCCATGTGAAACTAATTTCTATCCCAGGAATAGACAAGCTCACTGTAGCCTCAGGTCACTTCTGTTTATCGTCTCAGCTCTGGGGGCGAGGTGGTTCCTTGAGGTTTGAGTTATAAAAAATGGCTCTTTTTCAGAGGTGATTTGACTGGAATTGTTGTCTTAGGTTAAAAATCAGAGCTCAGAGATGACTGTTAGAGTTTCCAGGCCTGGGAGGAAGGACTTCGCTGCACCACTGAGAAAACCGCTGGTGCCCTGTGCCGTGAAGCCACCACCTGGCAATACAGAGCCCAGCGAGTCCTGGAGGAAGAGTCCTGTGCAGCTGAGGAAGCCCAGGAAGGTTTTATTTGAACCCAGAGCATCCGAGAGAGAACTTGGTGAGGAAGGTAACTCTGGCAGCCTGCAGGTGTCTTCTACAGGGATTTGTCAGTGCTGCTGGGTAATAACATCCTAGTATGTTTCTTTGTGAACTCTCAGGGAAATGGGCTTTTTCTCATCAGAGAGGTGAAACACAATAGTGGCAGCATGATGGCAGCCTGCGGAAGCAAGCCCTGTTCTCATCTGTCTTCTGTGTCTTCTCTGATGAGACTTTCTGCAGACTTCTGAGTCTTGTATTTTTGTGCTAGGGGATGGTAGAAGGCTTAAAGGCTTGTAAACCATGAAGCTGAGCAGTTTCCTGGGATGTGTCTGTGTACTGCTTTGTTTACTGGGCTCTATCTGTGTTTTCCTCCACAGATCTGGCAGTTAAGGAGTTGCAAGGTGAGGAGCCACTTGGTAATACCATTCACTTTAATGTCAAAGCCCTCTCATGCTTGATCCTTTATCTCCCCAATGATCAAGAACAGAATTCAGGTTATGTATAATGTCCTGTCCGTATCAGTGCCCTCAGTGTATGTGCTTCCAGTGTTGCCAGACTTTCCAGCAGACCCACACCTGCAGGTGTATGGTCTTCTGAAGTGCATGTGGGACGGATTTTAATAAAAGTATTTTCTAGCTTGCTGGGAGATGAAAGGAACAGAGTAGTGGGAGGAATGCCTTTGGAAGCAGCTCCAGGCTTCTGGTTGCTGTGCCTCAGGCACTGACAAGCTGTTACTTGCCAGCCCTCCCATACGCTCTCAGAGGTAGGAGTAATGCCAGGGGATGCCCCACAGCTGGCAAATCTCTTGTGGGGGAGTTAATGGGATCCAAGCCTGCCCCCAGCTGCCTGTCTCTGAGGTGGGAGCCTGACTGTGTCCTGCAGGCAGCCAGATGACTGCTGGCTCCCTGTGTTAGTGATGACTCTGACAGTGCTGCAGTTAACTCCCCCAAACCACAGAAAATGTTCCTCGGGGAGCCTTGGCTGCTGCCACCCCTGGGTGAAGGGGCCTGGTGCCTTTGCCTTCCTATTCCTCCCTCTGAGTTCCCAGCTGCCTTGTTCTCCCCTGCAGTGAGGGAAACGGGGTGTCTGTTCAGCCTCTTCTCACTGCCCCGTGCTCTGCCCTTCCCCAGGCAGTCCCAGCCCACGATGGTGCCATGCCATGTGCCTCAGTGACCTGGGAACAGCTGTTCTGATCGGTGGAGAAGGTGCCAACCAGCAGTCTTGCAAGGATGTGCTCTGGAAAATGGAAACTGGTGAGGAGTTTGGAGCTGACTAAGGCAATGAGGCACAGGATGCAAAGACAACAAGGTGGGAGGAAGCCCTCAGGGGTCTGTGCAAGGAGAGGGGTCAACAAAGGGCAAAGGGATTACTCCTCCCAGCACGATCATTTCTGGGCAGTAGCTGGTGGTGGCATCACTCCAGGCAGGTGTGTGATGTGTTGAGTGTGGGAATCTGCCCTGGGCCCTGCAGCTTCTTCCTGCTGCTTGGCTGCTGTGCTGTGCCCCTCGGGCAGCTTGCACTGTGCAGTGCCCTGGTAAAGGATTGCCCTCCTAGTTCAGAGGAATGGGCTAGGGAAGAGGAATATTCCCATGCTTATGGAGTAACCTTGACTTCTCCTGGGATAATTTCTGACATTTGCTGGCCCAGTATGACCATGTATCCTGCTCTCTCAGCTGGAACAGGTGCTGGATGGATTTTTCTTTCTTGTGAGTCGGTCAGCTGTAACATGCATCCATTATCAAGTTTCAGATGCTTGCTTTTTTTTTTTTTTTTTTTTTTTAACCACTTTCATCCTCTCTTGTCCTTTCCCCTTCTGCATTTCTGCTCTTTATTTATCTTCCTGGTCCTTGTGCTGCCCTATGCTCTGGTGGCAGTGTGGGCTGCTGCATGAGGCTGTTGGGCTGTATGTGAAAGCCCTTTGGGAGGTAAGTTAGAGGTTCTGGGAAGAACTGGTTGATTTTTAAGGGGCAGAAGCCATAGCACAGTTTGCAGCCTGTGTGTGATGAGAGATTGAGAAGTGAGGTACAGTTCAGTGCCCTGCTGCTTTCTGCACCTCACTGATAATCTCTTCCCCTTTACTATTCCTCTGCTACTTAGCATCCCTTTTTACTTTTCACACAAAAGCATTGCCAAGTCCCTCCAGCTCTGAATTGAAGTGAAGAAGGCAGAAAGATTTCAAGTAGAGACTTTATGCCATAGAGAAATTGAGAGGATTCTAGAGAAATCAGGAGGATTTTTGGACCCCCTCACCATCTGTCTGCTGTTACTCCCAGACAGTGATTTCTGGTTTCCAGTGGATTTCCAGCTACGAGATGCTGTGCCTTCAGGCCTGCGTGGTCACACTGCTACCTATGACCCGGACACCAAGCACATCTACATCTTTGGGGGCATAAAGGAGGACAAGGACTACAGCAGCATCTACATCCTGGACACCGTCACTTGGAAATGGCTCCTTGTGGCTGTAGGTATTGCAGCTCTTCTAAAAGCATGAGAAGGGTGGGAGGTTCTGCCTTGCTCTTGGGGAACAGTTAGGTTTTCAGGGAATGTGGATGTGCCTTTGCCTTTAGCAGTCTTGTTCTACTGTTGCTGCAGGTTCCCTGAGCTGCATGGCCTTATATATGTCAGAGCCAACTGTTTTGAAAGGCCACAAGCTTGGTGGTAACCAGGTGCTGTGCTTAGAATGAATGGAGCAAGCTGCAAAAAATGGCTGCTGCAGGGTGCTTTCTGGCAAAGGAAGTGAGTGAGAGATACTGTACAAGTGGCGAGGGAGAAATGCTAATTTTGTATGATGCTGTTGAGAGCTGCGCTGGATGTTGAGGGAAAGAACTGGCCTCAGATCAGGGGGCTGCTGGGAGCAGAGCAGATCTCTGAGCTCTTCAGCTTGCCATTCTAGTCTTTGTTGTGGACCTTGTCAGCTAGGGATTATCCATCTCTGCTCTTACAGAATTACCCTGGGGTGAGATCTCTCTTTTCTGTCTGTCTTCTGAGCCAACTGGAATAGCAAGTTTACTCCATGCTCTGGTCAGAGCATTGGTGTAGTGCAGAGTGTGCAAAGGACACACTGTCTGCCTGCATTGCAGAGATCTGCCTGGGAGGCCAAGGAAGAGAAAATCAAGACTTGCTGAACATACTGCATGGTGTGGGCTCCTGTCCTGTGGGCCATGCAACAATCAATACACTTCTTTCTTGTGTTGTACCTTTCCCAGGCTAAAGGGAGAATGCCAATGCTAGCCTACCACAGTGCAATCATCTACCGCAAGGAGCTCTTTGTTTTTGGGGGGGCTCTCCCCAAAATGGCATCACTGGCTGTTGGATCCTGCAGCAATGCACTGTATGTCTTCAATCCAGAATATGAAATTTGGTACCAGCCCATCTTGGAAGGGGAGAAGCCTCTTCCTAGACTCGGGTGAGAGTGCTCTTGTTTCAGCCCTTAGAGATAAAGGAGGAAACCTCTTCCCACTTTTGCTTCCACCCCCGTGCAACTTCCTAAATACTGAGTGACTGTTTTCTACAATCCATGCCTTAACATAAGATGTAACTCCTAGGGTTTCCCATCAGAAATCTTACTGGGATTCTATTTTGGGCTGCAGTAGTTGGGGACAGAAGCAGGTGTAAACTGAGATTGTCAAGCCCATTATCAGAAACCAAATTAATAAGAGGGAGAGGAGAAGGAAAAAAAAAAAGGTCAAAAAATCAGTAACAGAAAGTTCATGAAGATGCTTTGCTCATTCTGTTCTTATCTACCTAGGCATTCAGCTACTCTGCTGGGGAACAAGCTGCTGATTTTTGGGGGTCAGAGGACCTCTGTCTACCTCAGTGACATGCACATCTTGGATCTGGGTAAGAAAGTCTGAGCCAGGTGGCTGCTTTGGGAAGGCACATTCTAAGGTGAGGAATGAGGCATGTGGGATGGGACTGTAACAATAATGTTGAAGAAGACATGACTAGATGGAAAACTGTGGTGCAAATCAACCCTTTCTGGAGGCAAGAGGGGAGGGAATGGGTAAATAATAACAGTAGTAATGAGGCTGCAAAATACGACAGAGAGCCACGTGGACATTTAACTTTTCTTTTCCCCCACTACCAGGTTTCATGGAGTACACACCAGTCCCTGTCCTCGCAGGACAGCCTTCTGCACGCTGGTAAGATACTGTTGCAGGCCCAGGAGCTCCCTCCTTCCTTTGAGGTACCTCTTTGAGGCTGTGTTTGATCACAGGCACCTTTCAGACCCAAGTGCAAGTCTCTGCCCCACTAGTCCAAAGGCAGTGCATGATCCCTTTGTTGTGGAACTAAAAATTCTGTGCTGTAGCTGGTTGGTGCTTTTAAAGTCTAGGGGGTTACACCTTTTGGGTCCCTGGAAATCTGCCCCTCAGACGAGGAGAAGTTATCTGCTGTTGCTGATGGATTACATAGCCTTTTTGTTTGTTTGTTTTTGGTCTTTATGGTACCTGGAGTATAACAGGTGCACAGAGAGGAATAATCTCTTGAACATGCTGTCCCCAGAGGTAGGTAGTTGCCCACTAGAACGTGTAAGTAACAAACCAAAAAAGTATCAAACCAAAGCCCATCTAGCAGGCTATCTCTCCACACAGAGCAAAGCACAGATGTTGTGATAGCTCCTTCTGAGGTAGTGAGGTGCTTTGTGTGTCTGATTATGATCTGACTTGTACAGAAAAGCAAACAGCACTTTTAGGATAATTCAGGAAGTCAGGGCAGAAAAGCAGACTTTAACTTCCACTCAGCAGCTTGAGCCCCAGCCTACTGGGAAAATCTGCCTGCCTCTCCCCATTGCTCCTTGAGGAGCAACCCCTCTCCCTCCTAATTTTCACAGCTGAAAGTGGCTGTTGGGTGACAGTGGTTTTTCTGAACACCTTGGCTTATCTGTTTGGTTCATACCTTCCATGGAGGATGGAGTATTGATAGCTCCTTTCTACTTCAGACACTCTTACATGGAGCATGTTGGTGCACCATGACCTTTGCCGTCTGCCCCGAGCTGGCCACACATTGCTTGACATGACTCCTGCCCACCTGAAGGATATGGACAAGGAGAACAAGGACGAGCATAACCTGCGTACAGTGTTGGTCTTTGGGGGCTCTAACTGTGCTGGGACCTTCTACAACAGCACAGTCAAGATCCAGTTGGATCTGGAATAATGCACAGCCCTGAGAATAAGTCTAAAACAGCAAGGGCTCTTTGCTGGGGTAAATACAGGCAAGAATGGCAATAAATTAATTTAAGCAACCTGGAAGTCCAAGCTTCTATTTCAAAGTGAATGCCATCTTCTACATAAGAGGCCAGTGGTTTGTAATACCTTCATGAATACTGTGAGTATTTCTGTCATGGGTCTGCTGGAGATACAGCATCAGACTGGCAGAAATTGCCTCCCATATCCCTGGCTTGGCATCTGGGCTTGGATGCCAAAACAACCAAGACTCATGAGCCTGCATGAGATCATGGACACTCGTAGGTTTTTGGTTTCCCTTCTTGCCCTTCAGGTTACTTAGATTTTCAGTTTCATTTAAGATGAGTAGAATGGGATTTGCTTGCTGCCACTTGGGAGTTCCTCCCAAATTCCAGCATGGTTCTGGCTTAGAGGGAAGCTGGGGTGGGGTTCCCTTGGGAAATAGTCTGCAGCTGAGGGCTAGGAAAGCACCTAGCACAGAGTCTGAGCGTAGAGAAGGGTAGAAAACACCATTGTTTTCAGTGTATGGGGGTTGTCTTGTCTCGGTGTGGATTGACCACATAGCTTTGCTCCAGACCTTTACTAATTCTGCGAGGTTGCTGCTGGACAAAGGGAAGGGGTACAAACTGGCTGTCCTAAATAGCAACTTTGCCACCCCTTGCAATGACAGGAAAATTACTAACAGCTTGCTCTTGCAAAAACAAAGGCATCCAACAACAGCTTCTTCTGTCAGGGCCTCTCCCATACTCTTTATATCCATAGCACTGATAATTTTGCCATAGCTCTGCTGCAGGTGCAAGGACAGGCAGCCTGTCTGGGTGAGCAGCACATTGTGCGTGGTTGTTCTGATACTCTTTCCATGGCTGGTGGAAAGGAGAAGCCTTTGGGGAGAGTCTAGAATTGGCTAGATGCCACACAGATGTTTTTGGCTACATTTCCCAGACATACAAAAATCATACAAAAGGGTCTTCTGATAGTTGTAGATGCTTCAGTTTTAATCTGTTTCTTGGGGGGACATAAAATAGAAATATTTTAGAGAAATATAGTCTGAAGTAGCTGCAATCTTACCAGCACAGTGATAGCTTTTTTGAATCATTCAGGTTACTTCTGGAGCAACAGGGCTCTCCCTCAGTCCTTCCTCTACCCACATGATAATGATACATGAATATTTCCTGTTGGCACCCAAATCCCATTCAGCCTTTAGCTCGTGTCCTCTTTGCTGCTCTAGCTTACTTGATTTAATGGGTAAAACAGCTCTAAGCTCGCAGTTCTGCAGGGGTGTCTGGCTGCCGGGATGGGTGGCTTACTTGGAATGCCTCCAACTCTAGGAGAGCTTTGTTGATTCTGATGATTGTGGGATATGGAGCCAGGTCTACTTTGTATCTGTAAAAGGAGAAGAATTTATCAGGGAATCTCAGCTGGACAGCCAGTGCAGCAATGCCTGTTAGGGCAAAGCACTGTGCTGTACCTGCCCAGTATGACAGAATCTCACAGGTTGGGGTATCTTTGCATTAATAGAAAGGTACATTTATGTAAATTTAAAAATAAAAAGCTAGAGGAAAGCTTAGCTTTCAGGTCTTCACTAGGCTTTTAGGCATAGTTCAGCATACAGTAAGAATGCACTATGCTTTCTCCCCCAGTGATGATGATGTGACCCTTCTTGCATAGGGTTTGTATTGTAGGGTCTCTACAAATACAGTTCAATTGCTCTTTCCCATCTGTGTGCAGTGTAAATATAGAGCAAAGAGGAGACAGGATGTGGAGCGTGGACAGCCTTAGTTTTTGTAGGGACACAGATCAGCTTACACTACTGGAAGACAGTCCAGCTTCTTGAGATCCTTCAAAAGATGCAGTATTTAGCGCATAGAAGAACACATACGGAATAATCCATAATGGGACAGAGCATGCAAGACAGATGCTTTCCTAACAGGCACAAGGAGCAGCAGAGGAAAGGTCAGCTTTGACAGCCCAGCACATAGGATAGCTTCCACATAGGGATGTGCTCAAGTGCACATCAAGCTTAGCTTTAATTACCTTTCAGCATTGAAAACTTGAGGCACCAAGCACAAGTCAGCCATGGACACCTGCATTGGAGCAGAGAAAAGGGGTCAAAATAATCCAGAGCCTGTCCCCCCACCGCTCACTGTAGCAGCAGCCTTTGACAGCACAACAGCTGTTACTTTAGCAGCCAGTAGCATTTAATGAGTTCTTTTTATGCGTTTCTGGGGTAAAAAGAGGAGGTTTCATGGCAGCTCCATCCTTTAATTGAGCATTAATAATACCTCAGAGGGATTAGGAGAGGGCAGGAACTCATAGGAGTCACTAGCACTAGAAACCATCAGCCTGTAGGAGCCTCCTATTTACCAGCTGATGATGGCAGCCTCAGGGACACTGCGCTTCTGTGGCAAATGCCACTGAGCAGAGGAGTCTTGCCAGCAGGCTGCAGAGGGAGGGGGTGGGAGGTGCTTGCCAGTGAGTTTGTGTGGATGGGAAAAGACTAAATTTTGCTTGTTTGCACTGAAGGAGCATCAAGCAGCTCCAGCCAAAATCAAGACCTGTTGTGGCCTTTGTACACGCTCATGGGCCCACAATCTGAAAAAAAAAATACAAAGGACAGTGTAAGGAGCTGCCTTTCTGCACACATGATAGCTGCCTCCACCTTGCTCCCCAGGTCATGAATTACTGGGTATCTCCAACATAAGATCTCACAAATAGTCTTTGCCCACCAAGGGCTACAGTCCTACAGGTCCCCTGCCCATACAATCCTCTGTGTCATAGGGCTAGTGTTTTTTTTATTTATTTTTTTAATCAGTGCTTTTTCTATGGCCCCTATCTCTCTTTTTACTATCCCCATGTTGAAGTTGGAGAAGTAGATCAGAAAAACATGATGCAACCTGTCCAAGGCCCCAGAGCTTAGATTTGACCCTGTCTGTTTTAAGCTAAGCTTTGGCCCTATTGAGGGGAGACTTAGAACTCCAAATCTCCTGAGGATGAAAGGATCAAATCTGTTACCACATCCTCTGGTGCCAGTCAGGTTCCAGATTCTAGCTGTACAATCTGGCCTGCAGCAGATTACAGGTAAGGACAAGTAAAGGTCCCATAACTATCTGAAAGTTGATAATGGCCTAAGTAGGATCCATGCAGCTGCTTTCTTAGTGGTGAAGGCACACCATGCAGCAGGATAGGATGGAGTCTATGTCTCCACAGTTACCTTGGGAAGATGCAGAGGTTTCTGGTTCTGCAGTGGTGTGTGACACTCAGCTCCTTACCTCATCGCCCACACAGTAGCGCCCGGCGGTGTGCTGCAGAATCTGCTCCAGTGCTGCCAAGAGAAGTGGAACAGGGGATCAGGCACAGGAAACTCATTTCCAAGGCTTAATGAAGCTGCATGCGGAGGTGGGGAGTGCTGAACAAGAGTGTTTCAGTGCTGAGCTGGTAGGCATGAAGAGCGGAAATTTGAGTCAAAACTGAGAAAACAGAAATCTTATCGCAGAAGGATTATGGAATCGTTAGGATCCCCTGAGCATTTGGGACCCAGGATGATTTTAGCTGCTTCAATGAATGCATTTGATATACTAGGAGCACATAAAGAAGATGCATAAAAGTATGGAGGAGTACAAAGGTGCAGTCAGCTTGTGGCTGTCCAGAAGCAAAGATGGGCCTGCCATTCCAGTGCATGGCAGAGGGAAAGGGTTTTCTGGAACAGCACGCTAATTTTTACAAGGACACAAAGAAATATTTTGCTACTTGCTAGATTCTGTGGGGATTCTGCCAAGACACAGGATGTCTTTTGGCTTAAGGCAAAGTATATTAATACAGGAACTTAAGTGCAAAAGGCAGTAGCCTAGAAGCAGCAGGGAGGAGAGTGCTGTCAGTCTTCATGCTTTAGTATAATGGTGTTCAGGACACCTCTGGGCTTTTCCTCTTTCATCCACAGCAGCAGCACTGCATGTGGACAAGCTCTTCCCATGTAGGCGCTGGAGATCTACCAGTCCTGGATGAAGTACTCTGGGTGGGAAGAGCCTGTCTTTCCCAACAGGACAAGACACCAATGTACCAGCCTAGAAAGGCCTCTTGTTCTGCTTGAGGATAAAGTAGGAGCCCAGCGATGTACCACACAGTCCCAGAGTTTTGAAGGGTCAATCTAAATACTGATTGCTTCGGATGTGGGACTCACCTTGGAAGCCAGACTTGATGTAGTGCTGAGCCCATTCCAGTTTTTTCTCCCCAACTCGTTCCAGGACGCTCACGTTCTGCCAAAGTGAACGATCTGCAGGTTAGACTGAACTGCTGTGAGCTGGAGCTTGCTAAGGCCTCACACAGAATGGGGAGAGAGGAGACTAGGAGAGCTCAGCTTGAGCTCAGCCTTCTGGGTCAGCCTTGATCTCATCCTCAGTGAAAGAACCATTTACCTGTCTCCATCTCTCTCCTGGGGCTGTCAGAGGATTAGGGTTTGAAGGGACCTCTGGAGACCACTTGGTTCAACCCCTCTGCTCAGAGCAGGGTCAGCTACAGCAGGTTGCCCAAGACACATCCAGTCGGATTTTGAATATATCCAAGGATGGAGACTCCACATTCACTCTGTGCAACCTGTTGTTGTCCTTCTATTACTGCATCTTCCTAGGCATCCCTTTGCGAGTGCCCTATGAATCATTCTGTCTTGTCCTCTCTGAAATATCCTAAACCTTGCAGTGAAAAGTTCTGGGTTAAGTTGGTTATGAAAAGAATCTTGGGATCCTGTAGAATTTTCTTTGTAGGAAATATGTATTGTTTTAACTAGTGTGTTAGCAGATGAAATCTGTGTTTCATCTAACACAGTGTAAAACACAAACTGCTGGAAACCCATCCTGGTTTTCTTATCTGCATGGATATGACAAGGCAGTACCTGAAGTGGCTGAATGCCGGAGACAATGTGATCTGAGATCATTCTGACTTGGGCTCTCTTCTTTGGATCTTGGGGCAGGAGCCTGGGGCTAGGCCGCGTTTCTTCTAGGTAATGAATTATAGCTAGCTGTAATGAACAAAGACATAAGGAGATGGTATTGGAGAGTGGAATAAAAATATATGGCCTAAATACATAGGAAGCAGGAGTTCCTAATTGGTCCAAAAGAAAACAACAGGTTTTGAATAGAATCTGTTGTCAATCTAAGCCACAGAATATCCTCCTTGATAGCTGCTTGAGACCTTATAGTTTAGCCTAGCTGTGATTTAAGACAAACCATGGTGCAGCCATCTAAGACGTTGCAAACTGCTTAGTAAAAGATGGGGTTTTGAACCAAGACTAAGCTGAGCCTGAATGCCTGACAGCAGTTTCCCAGCAGGGGGACATGCTATTTCTGACCTCGGGTAGGATTGTGCTCTTCGTCACAAATGCCATCTGTTCTCTAATCTGGTGCTCTGGGGGAAGAGACAGAGCAAAGTTCTTCCTGTCCCTGCAGCAGTTTGGTGTGATGGTTATGATGTATCAGGTAACTCACCGACTGAGAAAGGGTGATGCCATCAATTTTCAAGGCTGGAACTTGCTGCATTGGATTCAATATCTTGTATTCAGCAGAATGCTAGGGAAACAAACCTGAGATTATTCTGTTGCAACCAGAAATTCTTCCTTCTCTTTGTTTTCTTCCCCTAGAATCTCTCATCTATTTTTAAACCCATCTTTCCCTCTCTCCCCATTACTATTTCCAGTAAGTTATGTTGTGTTATTAGCCTGCTCTGCAAGCTCCCACTGAGACTCGGGGATCTCTCTATGCAAGGAGAGACTGCCTTGCCTCTTGATAAACAGCAATACAAAGTTTGAGATGGGTGGTACTGTGGCAGCATCTCTATTACTGCTGTAGTTCCCCACCACTGTCTTAGCCCATAGTGACACCAAGTACTACCCAGTCCATGACTCTGAAAGTTCTCAGGAGGGAGAAGACTGCTGAAAGCAGCAAGTAATCACTGAGAAGCAGTGAGGAATTCAGTGACTTTCCTTTGACCTTTCCAGTGCTGATCCCAGTTCTCCTCATGATCCCATGTTTGTGTCCCCTATAAAGACCAATGGTAGTGGTATCTTACCTGCTGCCCCCCATCCTTCAGGAGGTTCACTGGCACCTGGTTATAGGCAATCCCTTTCAGAGCCAGTGCTGGGGAGAGCACAATGCACAGCTTCAGACAGGCATGCTGAGACCAAGTTCAATTTTTTAGAAAAGAGTTCAAGGAGAAGTTACCTCTCCCTTTGAAAAAGGCCATCTTTAAAGCTAAAAAAGACACTTGTCTCGAGAGGGGGGGGTGCCTGTGTCCCCTGAGAGAATGGACCTCTGGCAAACCAAGGATCAAAGCACCAAGGGTCAGCCCTGGCAAAAGTTCTTGTTCAAAATAAGCTGTGCAACCCTCTGTGGTACAGCTCCCCCTGACAGGCTCTGTGCTCAGGGCAAAACCTTCCTCGAGAGACTGTCTCAGGTCATGCAGGGACCATGCCCAGCTCTGCTTAGCTCTCATGGCCAGGCACCGCAGCTTGGGGCAGTATCTGTACAAGCAGAGAGTATAGGACTAGAAGAAAGAGCTGTCTGCATCATGTTAGATTTGCAAAAGCAGCAATTCTAACTAGTTGCAGAGACAATCTGTAAAATACACCAAGGGGAGGGAAAAATCTTTCGAAGTCTTTCATGGGAGGTTTGTCCACAGGAGAGGATTCAGCTGCTGCTTCTGCAGGTTTGTGTAACTGCAGAGAAGTTTGCCCCAACCATGTAGCCCCCTTCCCTGCAGCAGGTTCCCATTCCCACTGCTACTTGAATTTCAAACAGCTATAGGAAATACCCTCAGCTTCCCAGTTAATCTCTGTTTTCCTCACCCTTTGCTCAGCTCTAGGTGAGCTGTGGTATTTATTGCCTTCCTCCCCACTCCAGAAGAACTGGAGGAAAGGCAGAGGTTCGAGGTTCATGTTTGCTGATTTCTCTTTTAATAAGTCACTGAGTAATTGGGTTAGTGAAGGGTAGGGTGCTGCAGTAAGAATGAAAGAGGCATTGAAATTGGATCTTACCAATTCTCACTCTCCAGGAGCAGGAACTTCGAAAATAGCTATAAAGTATCGGCTGAGAAAAGAAAGAACAGGTAGTTTCATTGTGGGAACACCAGAGATTTTTAAGGAGAATACAGCATGAAAAGAAAGCATTTCCCAGAATCACAGAATGGTTGGGGCTGGAAGTGACCCCTAGAGATCATCTAGTCTAAACCCCCTGCTCAAGCAGGGAAGCCTAGAGCATTTCAGGAACTATAAGATACAGGAGGTCAAGCTTTTATAGGAGAGCTCCCCTTTTTAAAGTGACCGTTAAAGTGACTGTTCTGTGTCACTATTTTTCATGCTGTCCCTCTGAATACTAGTCGCATCTGATGTTCTCAGCAGTATGCAGGCTGTGCTGAAACAACCCCCTACAAGGCTCCTCTCTTTGTTACTGTCTGATATTGCCATCTTGCACTCTGTCACAGCAAGGAGCTGCACTGAGGATCAGCGGCAGGAGCCGGCTTTTCCAGCCTGGCCAGGCCAGGCCTCCTTCCAGAGGCACCGCTGCTCCTCCAGGTGTGGGCCTGGGGTGCGGGGGACTCTGCTCCACCTGGGCTCCAGCATCGGGGCAGCTTCTCAGCCACTTCCATCCCGTGCAAGCTCTCACCTTTTCAGATGCCATGGTCTATGTGTGCAATCCCCTGTCGAGGAAGTCCGTGTCCTTGCCCTTTTGATGCAGATGGGGTGTGGGGAAGGCTTTTCTCCTAAAGCCAATGAGAAATGGGCCATGCCCCCAATTCCACAGAACAAGCAGAGCTGGATACAAGCAGCTGAATGGCTGCATTTAGCTGCATCCACATCTGTTGCAGCCCCAGCCTGGGTATCACAACGATTACCAGCTTTGAGGGTGGAATCATATTTAGGAAGCACTTATTTCTCTATCTTTTTGTCCAGAATGAATAAAATATCTAGTGAGACTGTCAGGCTCTTAGTTGCCAAGGCAGAAATGCAGCCATGAAGAACACAACAAGAAGACTGAATGAACTTTTGTTTGCCTAAGGAAGGACAGGCAGCTCCCCGATCTGGGCCTGCCTTTGCAGGGAGGACCCCTGGGGCCTGCAGCCCCCTCTCCTCAGGACCAGCCTCCCACCACACGAGTCTGTGAGGCTGTTGCTCGGCCTGCAGCCCAGCTCTAAGCAAAACACCGGGCTCACTGCAAGCAGCACTCACACCTTTCTAAACGAACCAGGAACCGAGTGGCTCCCAAAACACAGAGGGAGCCCTCTGTGCGCCCACCTCCCAAAACAGAGATATTGGAACAGGAGGGCCGAGAAAGGCAGGGATTTGCTCATCAACACCCAGCCCGTCAACAGAAAATGATACATGCTCCAAGGACTTCTGTGCTCTTTTTAAACACAGATGTCTCTCTTACAGTTTATATTAATTCAAATAACTTGAAATATGCATTTGATTGAATTACGGTAGTCAAAGTTTACTAGAGAAATGCTTTGTGAGAGAGGAAGTGAGGCCTGTACTGGCAACTCTTCATGACAACATATTTACAAATTTACTAATTTTCTTCAATCCTCTGCTTCAGGAATCAGGGCATTTCTTGCTTGCAGGCAAGAAAACATGACTTCTAAAGCATCAAACAGCAAAACAGAAACAAACAGCATTTGTACATATTATTTTGTCTTTTCTGGAGAACTTGCTGATGAGTTTTGGCTCTGAAATTCATTTTTTTCACTATATGTGTTTTGGACTCTGACCTCTCAACTGGCAGAGATGTTTCTCCCGATCCTCTTACAGCTTTTCTTGATTTTGCAGCCTGCATTATCATTTGTATCTAAATGGTGTTAAGCTAATTGCTTGGTTCTATCATTTCAGGTCCTTGGAGATTTTACTAAAAAGAACTTTCAGCTGTGTCTCCGGAGCCTAGGACCTAGAATGATCTCTTCAATATATGCTGTTCTGCTTCCTATGGAGGGGAAGATTATGGGTGAAACAATGAGCTAAGTAAAGATACTGAGGCAGCAGGAGTGTTTTACTCCTCTGTGCCTTCTCTTCCCAGGCCTCGGAAGACACCATTCCTCACCCTCTCTGAGGAGGAGCTGAGCATGGGCCGGGGCTGTGCAGAACTGCCTCCATTTACTGCACTGTAGCTGCAGGATGTATCAGTTGGAGCTGGCAGGTTAGCAGGAGGACAACGTTTGCATGACATCTACTAAGATTTCTGTTTTGGTTCTGTTTTCACTTTCAGCATTAGTAGAGCAGTGGAGGCATGAAGGTGAGAAGAGTTTGGCCTTAAATACCAAATTCTAATTAAAAAAAAAAAGAAAAAAACACAACTGGGAGAACTTCTTATCCCCAATGATCCAGCCATCTTTCCTTTGAAAATTCTGGCAAAGGAGCCTCCCATCACATAAATGAATATGATTAACCCAGGAAAATCTAGGGTTCATCAGCTTCTGGGGTGGCAGAGAACCCTTTTGCTCTGAGGCCTGTGGTAATGAGGCCCTGTGACACACACCAGCAAGAGCCAATGCTCCTTTCTTGAGGGAAGGAAATGCTTCCAAGCCGGTCTGCAGCGAGAGACTTGGCCTAAAGGAAACATGCTAGGGGCAGTAGACAGAGTGTCTTGGTGTTACAACTTCTTACACTCTGAAATGCCTAAGGGCATTTTGTCAAGTCTGTCCCCAAACCAATTCATCTGCTAGCACAGGGCATGCAGCACTGTTGGGTTCGTTATGGAGAGTCACTGCATCGTGTCCTGAGCTTCTTGCCAGGGGCTCTCGTCTGTGGGATCCCCCAGCACTTGGGAACTGTGGGGAAGCAGGCTCAGGGAGCAGAGGAAGGAGGATCACCTGGACTTCTGCCCTCAAGCCCAGCTTTGTCATTGATGGTCACAGTGCTGTGACCCTGACCATGCTTCTTAGGCAGTCTATAAGCCTCAATTCCTCGATATTTGAAGAAATTCATGTGGAAGAGGCAATGAACAGGGAGCCTAATAGAGCATTCCTGAGGAGGCTTCTTCCTGGAAACATTTTACTGATCAGGAAGGAAGCTGCTGGGCACTCCAAGGTTAGAGCAGTGAGCCCTCATGTGCACTGCAGGACGTTTCGCTCCAGGCACCACCTCTTCCTAGGCCACAGTCAGGACATACTAGAAAACACCAAGGTCTTTTCACCTATTTGCTGAATCCCCATCACTCCAGTAGGCCCCTATATGGGTCTGACACAAGGGAGCAGACCATGCAAAAATGTCTGGAGGGGATAGGAGGGAAAGAAGCATCTGTTGGAGGCTTCCTATGGAAAAACACATCAATATTGCGTACAGGCACTGCCTGGAATGCACCACTTGTAATCTCCTGGATTAAAATTGAGGCAAATGGGACAGGTCTGCTCCAAAACCCTTGGTCTCTCTGCAGCAGGCACTGCGGTTAACAGCTTACAAGGAAAGTTACATGAGCTGTATTAGCTCTGAAAGGCATTAGCTTGATTTAACATGGAGTGGAATTCCTAGCTCTCCCTGGGGATCAGGATGCCAGACCACGGAATCCGTACACGTGGCTGCGCTGTGGAGCTGGCGTCTCCCCGAACGGCTCGGGGCACCCGCGAACAGCGCTGCTCCCGCGGTGACCTGTCCGCGTGGCCCGGGAGGCCGACGGGAGGCGGCAGGGGCTGCCGAAGCCCAGAAAGCAGGGGGCAAACCGCAGCGCCAGGCTGGGCCGACTCCGCGGTCGAGC